AGTATCTGAGACGGTTCCGCAGAGGCCAGCTCTCCATCTTCGACATCAGCCGTACCAAAGTTTATAACACGAACGGTTGTCGTCTCGGCGCACTCAGTGGTAAAGTGTTCTGGTCTTTCCCCATTTTCCCCACAGAATCTGCATTCGTCGTTCTATCTCAGTTCAGCCTACTGAGGCACAAATTAACTACAATAAATGCGAAAGAACACCCAATTACGCGTTCAGGTTTCTGTGACCTTCAGAAAGAGTTCATAGACAATCCGCATCAATGTATAGTTTGGGTTATTATTTGTTTGGGTGAAAATAATCTGCACCAATATGTTATCGAGGCATATAATCTCACAGTAATTTAATAGATTGCTCGTCATATTATATCAGTTCGTAGGAGATTAGAAAAAAAAAGATATTTATAATATAAAAAATTAATTTATTTAACAACATTTAATTAAAGATGTGACAAAATAGTTACATTTCTATTGGTTCTATCGGACTTTTTTCGACTATATAAATCTTTATTTTTTGTAAACTTTAATGCATAAAATATTTTCAATCTAATAAATAATTTAATGATGTAAATGAGAGGAAATTTCTCACATGGGTGGTCAAATTCTATAGTTTTCATTATATCAAAGAGCCTCTGAATGTTTTCTTCAGTGCAAAACTAATCAAAATTTAATATAAATAATTTTTCCATTTCCAGTAAATAAAATGAACAATTTTTCCACTTTCATGATCAAAGGCTTTTAAATGGGTAAATAATTTGGAGTTATCCAGAGATTCGGATTCTTTTGCAAATTTTAGACAAATATCACATTGACGTATTTGAAGACCCTTTTTAATGATGTAGTCAAACATAATTAAAGGCATTTTGAGTTGAAAACATTTCTCAGAGGCTGTTTGATATAACGAAAGCTATAAAATTTGACCACCCATGTGAGAAAGTTCCTCTTATTAACATCATTAAATGATTTATTAGATTGAAAATATTTGGTGTATTAAAGTTTACAAATAAAGATTTATATAGTCGAAAAAAGTCCGATAGAACCAATAGAAAGGTACTATTTTGTCACATTTTTAATTAAATTTTGTTAAATAAATTAATTTTTTATACTATAAATATCTTTTTTTTTTCCTTATAAATAAACACATTTGTATCCCATTTTAAATAAGATATACAAATTACCAAAACTTAGAAATAACAGTTCAAAAGTTCAACAAAAATCCTACACCTGTTTTTAAAAAGAAACATATAACCACGCACTATGTCATTCCAGCAAGCGAATACGACACAGCATAGGTTTCCGGACTAAACGACTGGTGTATTTACACCACTCAATAGGCGTGTTGGGTTTGCCGAGCGGTTTCCGATGCAGTCGCTTTCTTTCGCATCTGTTATAGGTAATTTGTGACTGAGGTGTTCGTTGAAGAGACAGAGTGTCCAGTTAGAAACCCCGTGACAATCCGAAGATTGTTTTTACTTAAATCAAGGAAAACCTTTGATTTTTCTCGGTCGTAAGTTCTAAGGAACTTTTTCGAGTGTCTTAGACCGTCGGAGGATTCCTATTTCAGATTACGGATAGAGTCCTCCAGGTTCTTCAGTTCCGCTTTAAGGCGGTTAAGTCAGTGCTCGCTCCTTTTCTAACTATATCGTTTGATTTTTCATTGCCTTCTATCCCTTGGTGAGCGGGCACTTAGAGTAGGAGGACTTTATTTTCTTTGCCTAATTTGTTCAGCTTCTCTAGGCATTCTTTGACCCACTTCGAATTGATGGTTACTGAGTTGATAGCTTTTCGTGCTGCTTGACTATCGGATAATATGGTTATTTCTTGTTTTCGATAGTTCCTTTCTAAGATAAATTGTACGCATTTTTCGATAGCGTAGATTTCTTGGCAAAAAGTAACAGAATTAAATTATTCTCGGTGCCAGGCCTTAGCTGTATCAAAGACAACAAAAAAAATCGACATACCGGTCATTGGAATGCGAAATACCCAAATTTACGAGCCGTAGTGCAGTAAATGACTCGATCACGGAAAAGCAGACCGTCCACTGGAGAGACAGACAGGGTCACAGGCATAGCAACGCCTTTATTCACGGACTGAATTCTAAAACCAAATAGGAACTGCTTATGCTTAGCAGAAATAAAGTGCGGATTACAACAGGCCTCTTGACAGGACAGATGACTATCAAGTATTACTCCAGCAAGCTCAACCTGTATCCAGGAAGTCTTTGCTGCAGATTCTGCGATAAAGATCCTGAAACAGCAGAGTACCACTAAGAGAATCTGGATCGCAAACGACACTTTTTATTTGGGAAAGGATGGCTAGAACCGGAGAAACTATACAGGTCCGGTAATACGATATCTAGGCATAGGAATTACATGCATTGGAATGAAACGGCCTATAGAAAGTCTAAGCTTAAACAGAGATGGACAACAACTTCCCCGTTTCCACTTCCACTATGACTGTCGAGTTAGACAAACTCCAATAAGATAACAAATTTTGGAAATTCCGCCGCCTCCCAACCACCCATGATACCCATCCACCTGCCCTTTATCGCCATTATTTTATTTCCCTTCCAGCGCCTCCGTTTGCAAAACGCCATCACCTCAGTCCATGAGAGTTGCCAGGTCTACCGGTTTCGTCTGTAAGCTACCGATTTAAAACAAAAATCTAACGATATGTTCAACTGCGTTTTTAGTCTAATCTGACTTTATTATTGTTTGTTAGAATTTTCATTTAGTAATCATAAATTGTTATCGTTCCACTCTAGTTGTAGAGTGACAAAGATATTCCTAGGAATTGGAATCCGTTATTACTGTTCATACTTTTATTAGGGGCGGTATTGGCGATATGCTTTCATATGCATCTGATATCTTTTAATTTGAAAGACTTGTTTCATTCATCTACTAAAGTTAAACCCATATGTTCCCAAAAAAAATATAAACAAAAACAAAATCTAAGTTAAGAAACAAAGTGAATACGGATAAATATTTACAATGTTCTTCCTGTCAAAAATATGTTAATATGAAAAAGAGTTGAGAGTTGCTACAGCTATCTTATCTGAAATGAAATTAATTTTAGATATCACTAACCAAAATGTGGCCTAGTTTGCCCAACATGATTTCTATCCCAATCTTGTTATAGTTTTTATTAATATATTAATTTCCAGTGGAATATATAATAATTATTCAATATATTTTTGTAATTTATGTATTAAATATAGCACAAAACAGGGTTTATAATGGAAAAGGATAAAAGAGACCTATATGGCTAAGGGAGGACTGGATGAATCAAACGGTTGAGGAAGAATATTTAGCGTATCTGTCTCACTATTGGAATTACATGTACATTTTTTCAGGCAGTCATTGGCAGTCATTGGCAGTTTTATAAGTAATTTATAATAGTGTAGGCAGTCTTCTTCATAGACATTGGCAGTCGCTTAGCATTGGAAGGATATTTCTTTCTAGTACGTGTACATTTTTTGGAAAGTGAGACTAAGTAATCTATGGAAGAGGTAAATTTAAACTAGCCTCTTCTTCAACACTTCATCCACTCCTCCCTTAGCCATATAGGTCTCTATCCTTTTCCCTGTCTCCCCTGTTTTGTGCTATATTTCCACCTTGCGCTTATTAGCATTTCGCAGGGACTAATACCCCTAGCCCACGGTAGCCTTGTCGTTGTTCTCCCAAGACCATGAGTAAATCACTGTCCCATCCCAAACTCATTATTTAACCTCAAAAAATTTCTATGATCAAAATGTGGCCAAAAATTGCCAAACCTCTAAACATACGAAATGTCAAACTCTTGGAAAATACTCCCAGGCGATTCTTAGCCTCCACTTCAGAATCTGGAACTGAATATAATATACCTACCTATTTCTAATTCTTGTTATATTTACTATATTTGTATTTTATTTGAGTGATCTAGTATTACGACACATACGAATACTAATTTTGGACTTAAATATTATATTTTATTTTGTTTTTGTACTTTTTTTGATTTTTGTTATTAAATCTACCGAGAACAATGTTCTCGTATGGAATTATAATCTAACAAACCCGGCAACCCTGTTCAGCTACACCTTTATAAAGTTTTTTGCGTTCAGTAATTCCTTTGTTGCCGCCTAAAGACTGACCGGTCGGTGAACACTTGGGAGACTGGAAGGATAGATCGTACAGTATTGCCATTTTCACCTTAGAATTGCACTTGTTATTTTAGAAATTATTTCAATGAGTTCTGCATGTTGCTTTTGTTTTTAGAAAGAAGTTGTTGATCAGGTAGAGAAAACATTCTTAAAATTGTTGATGTACTTTATTTAATATTTCATTAAGTCGGAGAACCTACAGATAATGCGATTAGAAGATTCATAGACTTAGGATAAGCCAACATATGAATTGATTTAACAGACATGGCAACACTGTAATTCGATCTTTCTATTTTTGTTGATTCTCTATTAGTAGCCGGTAACCCCACACAAGCGTCTTAAAGGCCGCCCCCTCACGCAGAAGCTCTCTTGTCGTATCACTTCTATGATCACTTCCCCTATACAATGGTAGGGAAAAGACACCTTATCCGTCTTTGTTGTACTGCAGTGTATTTTGCAGCCTTACCATCTTTTTTTATCGCATTGAAAATCTCCTATTGCTAATGAAATTTTGCCACACGTGTATGCTCCCGTCATATGAAGGACCTGCACAAACTGGTGCAGGACACATGGATAGAGAGGAGACTGGATTCAGAGATAGAAAGGGGTTAAACACAATAAGCCTTACAGATCGTTGTGTTTTCGGCATAAAACGGCCCTTAATATTAATGAAAAAAAAAACACCTTTATAAAAAAACTATTTTGCTGACAACGACACCAACCTACATCGTTGAAAGGAATGTGTAACCATATAATTTGAAGTCGAAAATATTTTAGACTTTTCTCATAATACTGATAAAACAAACAATAATTATATGTTAAAATCTTAGGTTAAAATAGTGTTCTTTCTTTTTCAGTCCGAACCTTAAGAAACGACACATCCTCGGAGCCGCAGCCCTAGTAATAGTGATCGTTCTAATAGTTGTTGCGTATTTCACTGGAGTCTTCAACAGTCCTAAATCAGGCGGAGAGAATGCGTTGGTTCCCGCCGATCCCACAAAAGCACTTCCTCCGTCGGCATCTGTCATGCGGGTGTTCAAAAGGGCGGCTGTGTGCGCCGATTCGGCCGTTTGTGCTCAAGTAGGCAAGTAAGTACAAAAAAGATAACAGAGTGATAGAGTAATAACACTATACAGGGTGAGTCTTAAATAAAATATTGCAAATATTTTTAGAGGTGGTATATTTCGACCCAGAAACACGTCTATAAGGTGTTTTCCCGATTTTTTTGGAAAATTCGGAATTTTTTGAAAAAAAAATTGGTTAACCATGAGACCATATTAAGTAGATGTTGTTTTATAGGGTTCTTCCTCTGCGACGTTGTCATATTTCATCTACTATTTCGTAAAAAAAATATTTTCGATGGTTTGTCTTTTTTCTATATATTTATTGCTCATTAAATTTCTATCGGTATCCCGGGTGCATCTCAAAAGTGGCTCATCCCTATAACTTTTTTATTTTTTTAGATAAAAAATAGAGAATTGGTATGTTAGTATATGACATAAATTAGGATTGATTGACGTATTCAGTTGTTTTTGGTCACTTCCTGTTTCACCGGAAATAACTACAACTTTTGATTTTTAAATGGCACCCTCGGTATTTTTTTTTACTTTTATTCGATAGAAAATGACAACTATATATCGTATGTCAATTTTTGACATTTTCGCATAATAAAAAATCGTATTTTAAAATTCAATCTAGAGTGCAATGGCTATGAAAAACACTAATTCTTAGTGAAGGAGCCTTGAAGAAAACTAGATTTGATCGTCTAATGTTTGTTTGCTGGCCAAAATGCACAAATCGTATTTTTATTTATATCCCAATTTTTTTAAATGGGACGAGGGTGGCTCTTTAGCATATTTGGAAAAAGCATTTTTTTACGAATAATTTGATACCACACACTTGGTATTTCGAGTCAAATTTTCGTTACAAACCGCAAGTTATAATTTCAAATAAACCATATGCGAAATCAAAAGTTGACATATTATATGTCATTCTATTCAGAGTGTTATTTTCTATCGAATAAAGTTAAAAAATACCGAGGGTGTTAATTAAAAACCAAAAGTTGTAGTAATTTCCGATGAAACAGGAAGTGACCGAAAACAATTGAATACGTCAATCATTCCCTAATTTATGTCATATACTAACATACCAAATCTCGTTTTTTAACTGAAAAATAAAAAAGTTATAGGGGGGCGAGCCACTTGTTTTTTCTTTATTTGTTATTGTTTTTATTATAGAATTGACATTTTTATGGCTTTTTAAAAGGTTACTGTACAACTACTGATTTTTAATTATTACTCATTGTTCATTATTATTAATAAAAACAATGAAAACAATAACTGGAAACATTAAAGAAAAATTGCGCAGTTGGAAAAATTGTTCTATATTTTTCAAATAATTATTACTTTACTCATATGTATTATTGATAGCCTTTCAGATAAGAGTAATTGAAAATATTTAATTATAAATTGTTTAATGTTTTTTGTTATTGTATTATTTTTTATACAATAACAAGTTTTTGAAGTATTTAGTTTAACCAAACAATAAATATCTTATGTTTAGGACACAGAATATCTTATGACATTTATATTTAAAATGCAGTATTGTTAAACAAAAGTTTCTCTAAATAAAATAAGAGAAAGTCATATAATGTCACACTATTTAATGACAAATATTGTAGTATTTGAGAGGCGTTTTCACACTCTTGGAATTTGAGATTCGAGAAACCCCTCCTTATCGAACCTCTGCACCCCACAGTCAATCCGTTTACCAAAATCAGCTTTAAACGTCAAGCAGTTTAAGCAGAACCGCGAAATCCCTTCTTATCGAACCTCTACACCCTAAAGTCAATCTGTTTTCCAAAAATCAGCTTTTTACGTCAAGCGCTTTAAGCAGGATCGTGATTAATCAAGGACCAGATTTTTCGAAACACCCGGTATACATTTTTAAAAAATATTAAAATATGTAAAAAAACAAAATAAAATATACGTGTTTAAGTGTTTTTTCGGAAACTTGACCATTTTTTAAATAAAAAATATTGTAATACTTGAGGGGTGGTCTCAACCTCTTGGAACTGGAATTTCGAAAAATCCCTTCTTATCGAACCTCTACACCCTAGAATCAACCTGTATGCCAAAATTGAGCTTCTTACGTTGAGTGGTTTGAGCAGGATCGTGATTAATCAGTATGTCAGTCACTTAAGGATTTTATATATTAGTATAGATTAGGTGAGATTAGGTACATATTATCCTTGTTTATGTATTAGATATTCTTTGCACTGGGATATAAACATCATGTCTTGTCAAATAGTAAATGCGAATTCATTAGTACTATAAAGATAGAAAAAAATCGTTTCCTTTCTTTAATATACCTTTCAGTGTCCAAAGGAAGGGTATATTATTACCTTAATATCAACATATATTATTATTTTACCTTTGCTGAAGAAAATACATACAAAATATACCAAATTAAAAAAAAATACTAAAATATCTTTGCAACTCTCTTTCTTATTAGTCTGAAGGAAGTTCACTGTCCCAAATTACCTTCTAACATGCTTATGGATACCACACGGATTTCGTCTATTTATATAGAACTATCTAAAATTATAACGAATTTAGGTATTTATTTTTATTTTACTAGACTCATTAACACAAATTATCATAATATAATGTAATGATGACCGAAAGACTTGTGTGCTAATAAAAAAATGTACTGCGTATTAATAGCTAAGATAGCTAGCTAAGTAAAATAAAATTACACTAAATCACCACAATACACCAAAACTTTTACTTTTACACTTCAATCTATTGAAATATATATATATATGTCCCGTATCCATCAAAGGTATGTTCCGATCACCATAATAACCGTTTACTTTGTTACTCGGCGCGGCCTACTATCCACTAATAGCCTAAGAGCTGACGACATATTTAGAGAACATATTTTAGGCAAGCTAGAATAACTAAAAATGTATAGTTTATTACCTGGTGAACCCAGAATCCTAAGTCTGGCTGGGGGGTTGGGGGTATTTCGCTACTGCGCAACCCATAACATTTGCAAAAAAATAAATCCAAAAAACATTCTTTAGGCAACTTGAAATTTGTTTATTCTAAAATTTTAGCATCTATTTAACCTAGAAATAAGTATGCCAGACTTTTTTTTCGGGTTTAAAGTGTAACCAGACCATTCCAAATATGTTTAATTGTTATACCTGGAAAACATACTTTAGGCATTCTAAAATTTTTACAGCGTGTTTATTAGATGATATTAAAAAATATGTGTTAATTGCCAGACGAATTCAATGGGATTTAATACTTGCCAGACGCGAATAAAGATTTTAAATGAGCGCGATAAGAAAGTCTTATGAGTATCTATAAGCACGAGAAAGATAGTTTATTGAGACCCGGTCGGCAGCCGATGCGGCTGACGTAACAGCATTTTGGAGTCGTAAAAACTTAAAAAAAGTAACTAATATTGAATAAATAAAAAGAAACATTTTTTAATAAAAATGTATGATTGAAATCCTTTCAATAAGAAGACTTTTTAATTTAAGTATTTTGTATCTGAAAGAATAAAAAGACGAATAATTATTTAAAAATTAGCATAATATAAAATATATTTTTTTCAAACGTCACAAAAGTATAATTATTATTATACTTTTGTGACATATTATATTACTATTAATTTTTGCGACCTGATTGCAATATACAAAATATATCATTTTAACGCCTAAGCATAAAAGTAAAGCACTTTTACTTACTTTTGAATCTATTTAGAAAGATTAACCATGGTACTTTAATAAAATCCCAGATTACTTATTTTTTTAGCACTGGTACAGTTGAACAAATATAGGAAGAGGCTTGGGGATAGCACCGGTCGCCGTGTTATTTTATATTTCTCACGTCTCTAGCTATACTTGTTAAGTCGTACATGGTACCCTTTCGTTGGGACTACGTTTTCTGGTAAAACCACTTCTTTAAATTTTAAACCATGTTGTTGGCGCACTTTTAAAAATTCTTTGCAGTTTTGTAGTCTGCCTTCATCGAAAACAATAACTTTGTCACTAGTAACTTTTTTACAAACTACACAACTTAAATGTTTTTTATCCATTGTGATTTAGTAGTTAGTAGCGAAATTAGTAGTTACTAAACTATTTATTTGCAGTAATTATTCTAAACGCATTCTTACGCTTATAGATACTCATAAGACTTTTTTGTCGCGCTCACTTAAAATCTTTATTCGCGTCTGGCAAGTATTAAATCCCATTGAATTCGTCTGGCAATTAACACATATTTTTTAATATCATCTAATAAACACGCTGTAAAAATTTTAGAATGCCTAAAGTATGTTTTCCAGGTATAATAATTAAACATATTTGGAATGGTCTGGTTACACTTTAAACCCGAAAAAAAAAGTCTGGCACACTTATTTCTAGGTTAAATAGATTCTAAAATTTAAGAATAAACAAATTTCAAGTTGCCTAAAGAATGTTTTTTGGATTTATTTTTTTGCAAATGTTATGGGTTGCGCAGTAGCGAAATACCCTCAGCCCCCCAGCCAGACTTAGGATTCTGGGTTCACCAGTTAATAAACTATACATCTTTAGTTATTCTAGCTTCGTCAGCTCTTAGGCTATTAGTGGATAGTAGGCCGCGCCGAGTAACAAAGTAAACGGTTATTATGGTGATCGGAACATACCTTTGATGGATACGGGACATTTCATTTCAATAGATTGAAGTGTGTGTATTTTAAATAAAAAAAACGAGTAAATTACTTAAAAAATATTTTTTTCGAAAAAAGTCTGACTACACCACTGCATTCTACACAGAAAAGTGCCTTTAGAATGTATAATTCATTTTTCCGTGGTTGCTGAAATAAACAAACTATCGAACATCTTCAAAAAGTACAAAATTTGAGAATCCCCCTGTAGCTTCGAAACCGATCAAGATAGCCACGATCCGTTTGCGCCATTGTAATTTTTTTCAAAAAAAGAACCCGAGGCTGCAGTATCAAAATTTGAATATTTCTCACGGTTTCCTAGATACCCTATAGAAACAACCAAAATGGTCCACCCTGTACACATGGATTC